GCAAACGGCTGGGTCAGGGCAGCGGGGAGGGCGCCCGCGAGCGCCCCCTGCCGCCACGCTCCCAGAGCCGTCCACTGTCGGGGAGATTGGCAGAAGGCGGGGAGGGCGGATGGGGGGTCCCGGCGTGGGCGGGCACGGGGAGGGGGGGTGGGCCCCTCCCGGACGCTGGGCGGCAGGAGCCGGCCACAGCCCAACAGCCCGCCACAGGGGCCGGCTCGATGGAGAAACTCTAGTCCAGCAGTCCAGCCCCTCCTAGGAACGGAACTGGGTACTCACCGATGCTCACGGCGCTCTGGCACTCCCCAGACATCCTGCGGGAAGACGGACTGGGTCAGCCCTCTGGGCCACACCCTCCCCATACCTGCAGCACCTTGCCGAGGTCCACAGGGAAAGACAGCCTGGGGCCCAGACGGCCTCCTCGCAGGGACCAGCGGAAGAGGTAGGCTGGACCGCTGCTCCCAGGACCAACAGGCTGGATTTTAAGTGTGACCCTCCTCACTCATTCCGAGCTACCCCCGGGATCTGCCCTACTCCACCTCAGGATCCTCCTTACTGTAGTAACATCGTTGACCCCACCTGGGCCAGAGCCCTGGCCCCAAGTGCCAGCCTGCAAGAACCCATTCTTCCGAAATCGACAAGTAAGGCGATAACAGAAATACCTAGACAGAACCTCGATGCCACCATCCGCATCTTGGCAGACACGTGTTTACAGACAGGTCAAAACTTGAAGGGGCCGGAGCCTCAAGGGGTGGGCTCAGGTGGTGCCCTGATGGCTCAGAAAGCACAGGACCAGCAGCCTTTCGGAGGGGCCCGCTGCCCTCCCGCCACGGAGCTCCCTGTGGCCCCTGGTGGCAGCCCGAGGGCAGGCCACAGACCTCCCGCCTCTGCAAACCAGAAGGCGCCCTCACCTGCACTCCTCGCCCTCCAGGAGGGTCCTGTAGGTGGCGATCTCCATGTCCAGCGCCAGCTTGACGCTCATCAGCTCCTGGTAGTCGCGCAGCAGCTTGGCCAGGTCCTCCTTGCCCTGCTGCAGGGCGGCCTTGAGCTCCTGCACCTTGGTGTTGGCATCCTTGAGGGCCATCTCCCCGCGGTGCTCGGCTTCAGCAATGGCTGTCTGCACGTTGGCATTCTGCAGGGTGGAGGGGCAGGAGCCCCACTCAGGTTCAAGGGGCATTCACGGGGGCTCGCCTGTGTGCTCACCCTGGGGCCCACGTGGGGTCACCCCCACATGGGGCACATAGGGGAACTGCCGTCCGCAGAGGGAAAGCCCCACCTGCCCAGTCCCCACGCATCGAGGGTGACGAGCAGCGTCACTGCAGCGCCCAGGACTACCCCCGCCAGGGAGAAGCCAGACTCTCCCTGCATCTCTTTTCTCTAATGGCAAGAACCTGAGTGTCTTCAGAAGCCTCCCTCCTCCAGGAAGCCTTTTTAAGCTATCAGAGAAGCGTTCTCTCCGCCCTAGCCCTTCTAGATGTGGGTGGCCTTGGCCAGCCTCCCAATTTGATCTTCGCACAGCCTGCTTCTTCGCCCAGCCTCCTCATCATCTCTGTCCTCAGTGCTTGGGGCTGACACCATCCTTCCACAGGCGGCCTGTGTCCAGCCCGAGTTACAGGGTCACCCGGCAGCCCACAGTCTCAGGCATACGCTCTTCCTCCTCCAGCCCACCTGCTTCTTGACGCTCTCGATCTCAGCGCGCAGCCTCTGGATCAGCCTGTTGAGCTCCGCGATCTCATTCTTGGTACTCTTCAGGTCATCTCCATGCCTGCCGGCCGTGTTCTCCAGCTCCCCCAGCTGTGTCCAGGAGAAAGCACACCTTCAGACGCCCACAGGGGCCTTGTGGTCGCCTAGTCCAGACCCTTTATGCCCCAGATGGAAACACTGAAACAGAGACTGACGACCTGCATGAGGAGGGCACTGCCCTCCACGAGACGAGAGGCGCCCCGGGCCGCTGAGAGCCCCCACAGCCACGTGTGCTAGGGCGACAGACGGGGACCCCCAGGGCAGGCTCTCACGTCACCGCAGGTCAGGACAGTGAGCCACCTGCGCCAGCCAGAGGTGGGGACCGAGACGAGGGACACAGAGCTCCCCGCGTCTGTCGTCTGCCTCTGCCCGGCTCCCGTCCGCCTCCCACTTCCTTCCCTTTCTGTCTGGGACAGTGATGGACTGAAAGGCACACTATGACAGGCACCAGCCTTGTGGGGGGGGGGGGAAATGTCCCCAGCAGTAAAGGACAGGCAGGAGAGGGGTCTAGCCTGAGGCCTCCCCACCCTGGCGCCCGCAGCCTGGGCGTGGTGGGGCCAGGACTCCAAGGACTCTAGCTGCTGCTTCTGCAGGGTGCATCTACCTCTGTCTCGGCCACCTCCAGCAGCAGCCCGCCCGGCCCCTCCCAACCTCCGCCAAAGTATCTCCTGGGGCAAAGTCACGGGAAGAGAAGCCTTGACTAGGAAGGGAAATATCAGTTCATAAGACCAGGCCGCAGGGCGGCGAGGGAATGGCCATCCTGGCGCGGAGAGAATGACCGGGAGTTGGGCAGGCCTCCTGGAAGGGAGGGAGGAGACACCCCCGAGCTACGGGTGGCCACACCCACCTTGGACTGGTATAGTGCCTCGGCCTCGGCCTTGCTCCTCTGGGCAATGGCCTCGTACTGGGCCTGGACCTCGGCGATGATGCTGTCCAGGTCCAGGAAGCGGTTGTTGTCCATGGACAGGACCACGGATGTGTCGCTGGCGTCTGACTGCACCTGGGACATCTCCTGCAGCACAAGCAGACACCACCTTGAGCACACCACAGCCGTGGGCCAGCAGCTCAGGAGGGGGCTCGAGACTGGCCCGGGCGCGCATCCCGAGGACAGCACCCCCAGACGCCTCTCCTCCAGGAGAGGCCAGGCAGGCACTCCCCGGCCCCGCGAGCTGACTTACTGCATTGTAGAGGGCCTTGAGGAAGTTGATCTCGTCTGACACGCTCTCCACCTTGGCCTCCAGTTCCACCTTGCTCATGTAGGCGGCATCGACGTCCTGGGGGAGAGCTCGGTCGCTGTGGGCTCTGACCGGGGGCTCTGCCCCGTCCCAGCCACAGACAGGAGGGCCCGGAGGACGGGCCCAGGGGGCCTGTCCCTCAGGGGCTCCCCTGGGGGGCAGTGGGGCCTATCCAGGCACAGACTGACAGGCCTTGATGTTGCTAACTGGCTACTGTGCCGGCTGGGCCGGCTGAAGGAGCTGTGAGGCAAAAAGAGAAGATGGCCGGAGCCAGAAGGAGGATCTGGGAGCCCCAAGGAGAGTCGGGTTCGCAGCACTCGAGGCGCCCCCAAGCAGCTCCTACAATGCACGCCTGGAAAACGATGCCCACTTTGTCACAGCTCAAGGCCTCACCAGAGTCCGAAGCCTGCGTGCCGTCAGACACAACACCACACGGTGTGCTGTGAGGCGAGGGCTGAGGAGCCCTGCCCCCTCCTCCCCACCCAGCCGGCTCGGGGGGGCTCCCTCCGTGGCCCTCACCCTCCCACATGGCCAAAAAGAGACTCTCAAGTTAGCAGGACCCAACGTCTAGTCTACCTCCCTCCACCTTCAGCCCTTTTTGTTCAGGGCCGGGGGTGGGGGGGAGACTCCTCACCTTCTTCAGGACCACAAAGTCATTCTCTGCAGCTGTGCGCTTGTTGATCTCTTCTTCGTACCTGTGAGGAAAGACTCTTTGATCTGCCTGTTCTGGAATGTGCCTGCGGCCCAGAGCTCTTCCCACATGTAACTCCAGTGCCCTGCCTGGCCAGTTTCGCTCAAGGCCTTCTGCACGCAGGGGATCCCTAGCTCCTTCAGCAGGCTCTAGTTGAGGACTTACTGTATGCCACATGCCCCTCAAGGGAGCTGACGAGGACTGGACCCTGGGCGAGGAGCCCCCTCCCGGTGGGCTCTATTCTGGTTAATCCTGGAAGCCTTCCTGGAGAAAGCAGGTTTGGTTTTTTGTTTGTTGAACTATGGATGTGACCACAGGTAGATGGCTGCCAGGGATTTGGGGAGGTGCCTGGTCCCCCCTGAGCACAGCAAACACGGGGCTCTCATAGTTACTTCAACAGGGTCACTAAAAACGTAGCAGGCCGAGTGCCTGGGTTACGCTGTATTAACTCATTCGCCCTTCTACAGCCTCAGGCACCCACACTGTCCCTGTTATGTTGTGGAGGAGACCGAAGCACAGAGAAGCAAAGGAACTCGCCCATTATCCAGGATGAGAAAAGGGGTCACCAAGATCCTCAGCCCCCAGAGCCTGTGCTCCTAGCTGTGAAACACATCCCTTCTCCCTCAGAAGCCTGTTGACAGGAAAAATAAAACTCCTATTTGCAAGACAACTTGAAGGGCCTCTAACCCACGGAGGCTAGAGCGTCATCTGAACCTGGAAAGTTCCTGGATGAGCTTCAAGCATCTTGGAACCCTCAAAATCACGGACTGCATTCATTATTCATTAAAAGCCCAAGCGCGTCAGGCCCAGCTGAGCCGTGCGCCTCTGTGCTAAAGGCTGAGCACGGGCGGTCAGGGCGAGAGGGGTGAAGCCCCGATGCCCACAGGCAGGTGTCACAGAGCGGGGAGCCCGGCCCCCCGCCCGCCCCCCGCCCCCTCCCCCCACAGCCAGGCCCGGGACACTCACTTCTTCTTGAAGTCCTCCACCATGTCCTCCATGTTCCTCAGCTCGTACTGCAGCTTGTCCTTCTCGCTCTGCAGCCCGGACAGGAAGCTGTTGAGGCTGCTGATGTAGTTCTCAAAGAAAGGGTCCAGGTTGAGGGTGGGGGTCTTCGGGGCAGCGTCCTGCTCTTGCAGGAGGCTCCACTTAGTCTCCAGAACCTTGTTCTGTTGCTCCAGGAACCGCACCTGCCACCCAGTGAGAAAAGAGGATCAAAGACCCGCTGGGGCCAGCAGTGCAGGGGGGCCCATGACCGCCCCCCCAAAAGTGAAGCCCCCCGGGCTCTCCCCATGGCCCGGCAGCCCTGCCTTTGCCTGCTGCGATGGCCAGGAGGACGCCGTGTGGACAGCAGGGTGGGGGGAGAGTGGGGAAGCAGAGCTCTCTGCGCAGATCAGGAAACGGAGGCCCAGAGACAAAACCAAGCCCACGCCAGTTACGAGAGCGAACTGAACCGAGGCCTCCTGACACTCAGGACCTCTGGCCATGTATTGTGTCCTTTATCTGCCCATTCTTCAATCATGTGTCCTCAACAAACAGCAGGAAAGTCCAACAGCCTACAGCAGACGCGCTCCAGGGCTTACAGTGACTCGTGACCCAGCGCTAAAGTAGGCAACAGAGAGAACCCCAGAAACAGGGCCCGGCCGCCCTGAGGCCAGCGTGGCTGCCACCCTGGCTAAAGGCAGGGCTGAGCTCTGTCCAGCGGAATCACTGGGTAAAGCTGTCTCAAACTTCCATTTGCTGTAACATGTCTGGACACAAGTCCAAGGCCAGCTGTTTGAGCAGGTAAAGCAAACGAGATGTGCGTCAGGCCTTCTGCTGGACATTCCGGACCCCCAACGCCGGCAACCCCCCTTAAAGCATGACGAGAGCTGCTGATGAGAAGCCCTAAGACACTGGACCCCACCTTCTGCTGGAGGGGCAGAATTTCCCTAGCAATTTACTTGACGTTCGAGAGCTTTGCCCCCCCCCCAAAAAAAAGGTCTACTTTGCCCAGGCCACCATGTGCGGTGATACCCCACCAAGAGTCGCCACAAACCCTTTCTCCCAGGCCTCTGCTGCCTGCACACGTCTCTCGAGAGCAGAGTGTCTCCCTGAGCCCTCCAGTCACACCTGCCACGGCGCCTCGCCCGGGCTACCAGGGCCCCGGCCTCTCTGTCAAGCACCTCTTCACATGCTTGGAAATGTTCAACATTCACACTCTCAAGTTCTATGAGAACCACCCCTCACCCTGCCCCCCCCCAGAGCGCTCTGCACCCCTTTCCTTAAGCTGAAGGCAGATCAGCCCATCTCGCAGATACAAATTCAGCCCTGGTAGAGTCAGTCGCTCTCACAGAGGTACAGCTCCCAGTTGTTCTGGGTAGAGGAGGAATCCTGGGTAAGCTGGCAGAGGGCAACAGTGAGGGGCGTCAAGATGGCAGCGGTCTCCACCGAGCCTCTGATGAGCCACCGTGGGGGGCAGGTGAAGGGGCATTGTCCTCTCCAGTGGGACAGTCCTCTTCACCGCCTGCTGCTGTCGAGCAGGCCTGTCCTGGAACTATAAGGCGAACCCACGAGGCCTTCCTCAGATCACAAGGAGAGCGGGAAGAAGAGACCAGCCCACTCGGTCCAGCTTTGCCTAATTTCCAGCTGTCCTGAGACAGGCCCACCTTGTCGATGAAGCAGGCGAACTTGTTGTTGAGGGTCTTGATCTGCTCACGCTCCTGGGTCTTTACTTGTCCGATCTGGGGGTCGATCTCCACGTTGATGGGCTGCAGGAGGCTCTGGTTGACCGTCACTTCATGGATTCCCCCAGGGAAGCCACCTGGACCGCCGGGCCCACCAAAACCACCGTGGCCACCAAATCCACCAGAGCCACCAAATCCACTTCCTCCAAAGCCCCCAGCTCCGCCACCGAAGCCCCCAGCTCCTCCTCCAAAGCCTCCAGATCCTCCACCATAGCCCCCTGACCCTCCGAAGCCCCCTGATCCTCCAAAGCCCCCACTTCTTCCACCGAAGCTCCCACACATTCCTCTCCCGCCCCCTCCAAACCCGCAGGCGCTCCCAAACCCGCCGGGTCGGAAGCTGCCCCCGGCCACGCTGCTGGAGATCTTCTTATTCCCCCCAAGGTTCTGCAGACTCCTGCTGCCGAAATTTCCTCCCATCATGGCGCAGGCAGAAGCCATGCTCCCGCTGCTGCCCCCAGAGCGGGAGGTCTTGGAGGAGCTGATCCGGCCCTGGCCGGACACCACGGCCGAGCCACCGCTGAAGCCGTGGCGGCGGCTGCTGCTGGACTGCTGGCCATAGCTGGCCTGGCGACTCATGGTGCGCAGCAAGGTATTCCAAGGCGGCGAGCTAGAAGCTGGACAAACTCGAGAGCCTCTGTGGTTCCGGGCCAGAGAGGGCCCTTATATAGGGCCAGGGAGCTTGGCTGGCGGATGCAGCCAGCCGCTAATTGAGGTATTAACAGCTTTGCTTTGCCTGGCAGCAAGAGGTCGAGTCCAAAACTCGCAACACACCTTGGTAATCACCCCAAATTTCTAAGTGGCTTTGTTTTCCCAGGGTTACTCACCCGAAATCAGCTTAAGTCGGGAGAGGGGCCATTCCACAGGACTGGACACAGCCCCTAATCCCCAAGAGATTCAGGCTGCTGTCCCAGCAGTGACAGGTCAGCATTTTTCTACCGCTGCTGCATCCTCACAGCCACTCGGCCAACCCATCCAGGAGAAAAGTCAGAGTTGGGGGGGGGGCGGGAGGTGGAGGCACTGTCTGGGGGATCTCATCACCCTGGGAGAGACCCCGGCAGGGGGCTGGGGCCTCAAGGAAGAGCTGCAGTGAGGGAGTAAAGAAGGGCCACTTGGGGAACAGAGGTGCGAGGGGCTGAGAAGGAAGACCGTGCAGAGCACTGCGGGAAGGCAGCTGGCAGCCAGGGACCTGGGAGCGGGAGGTGCAGGAAGGCCAGCCTGGGCGAGGACAGGAGGCCCGACCCCGGCCAGACATCCAGCCCTCACACGGCCCCACTAGGAAAACGAACCCGGGTCTCCACGGCCCCTTCCCTCCGCTGCCCTGAGACACGCCACCCGCCGGCCCGGAGAGTAGCGGGTCTTCTCCTGGCTCCGCCCTCGTGAACCGGGAGGTGAGGGTCGGAACCCCCACAGTGGCCGGCCAGCACCCACACTGGCCTCGGGCCACACGCGCGAAGGGCCCAAGGCACTAGTTGCCTGAGGTCTCTTTGCTTCTGTCCGTGTGGTGCCTCTTAGAGGGCTAATCGCGGCCAAGCACATCAAGATCTCGGAGTAGATGAGTTTCCTAAGATTCTTCACATTGATCTTTTTCCACATTAGAACTAGACAAGTTTCTGGCTTCATTTGACTCAAGATTCCAAATTCTCAGGACAGCAGCCTCGCTCCCCCTCCGCTCTTACTTAGCGGGCTCGCGTCTCTAAGTCTTTCTTAGGGCACGCTGATGTCTAACATCCCTATGTTTACACCAGCCCCACTTAATGTCATGTCCCTTATCACCAATCACGTATTTTAATTAAAAAGAAAATGCTGGCTCTTCCTGAGTCTGTTGAGCGAATGAAGGAAGAGATAAGTCTCTCTGATTGTCAAGTGTGGTATGTCAGTCACTTTCAAATCCTGGCCTCCAATTCCTTCAGCCCCAAGCCTGACTGCTGAGCAAGAGGTAGGGGCATAGTTCTTTTGTTTGTTTTTTTAAAGATTTATTTATTTATGCACGCAGAGCTGGGGTACAGGCCAGAGGTGCATGGGGTAAGAGGCTTCACCCAAGACAGTGGAGAGCAGAGCAGGCCGAGTGATGAAGTCCACTGCTGAGAGGAGCAGCGGGCGGGTCTGCCACGCCATGTGGGTCACCTCCGGGGCGGGGACCGAACTCATGCTGAAGTGGCTGTGGCTTCTTAGTGCTGCGCTTTAACCGGCTGCACAGCCAGGGAGGGCCCAGTTTTTGACCTTATTAAATGGTACCTGACACTCCTGCCCGTGAAGCCCACAGTGCTTGCCAGAAAATGAGTCTCTGCAGAAGGTAGCCCCCCTTAAAACGGGTCCTTCCCCCCCTTCCAACCTGACCACCCCCCTCCTCAGACGCTGGCCCCGGGGACACTCGTCCTCACATGCCGCCTCTGTCCATTTTCACCCTGGCTCCTGGGCACAGGTACCCTAAACCCGAAGGGCTGGGAGGTGGGTGTCCTGCAAGTTAACTGGGTGGGGTGCAGTTTGTGTCAGCGGGGTTCCCCAACTGCAGTCCTGCCCAGGCACACGCGCTCTGGGCAAGTGGCTGGGAGACCGCGGCCCACAGAGGTTCCAGCTCCCACCACCCCACGAGTTCCCGGCGCTGGGTCCCAGGCTCCACATGCAGAGAGGAGGCTGGCGAGACGCGCAGCCCCGTCACAGCTTCCCGCCCAGCACAGGGAGCCCCCTGATGCCCTTTGTGCCCCCAGCGTGGCATCACCCTCCTGTCCCTAAAACCTAGGTGCTGGCCCATCCCCAGGCTCTGATTCTCGCCCAGAGCATCCTGCTGGCCTGAGAGACCAACACCTGGCCACTGGGTCCAGGCAGGGGCTGAGAACGGGGCGGGGTCCTGCCCCGACTCAGTGCCCCCAGTTTTCTGTTGCCTCAGTATCCTCAGCACACGGAGGGCTCTAGATTAGAGCAGGGGTTCACGTAGGAGGTGGGGAGGGGGAGGGCCCCAGGGCAGCGTCCTAGCCCTGTGTCTCAGCGTGCTGACACGGATGAGGCAGGGGAGACTCCACCCGGGAAATGGACGGAGGCTGGGTTGGGGGCCAGAGGCTCAGACACAGCACACGAAGCTGCCCTGGCTGCTGCCAGGTGAGGTGGGGCCTGGCTCAAAGTCCGTTCGTGTTTTGGGGTCCTGCTGTCACACCCCGCCGTGAACGCTGCACCTGCCTCCAGAGAGACCCTGCGAGCTGGTCGGGGAATGCCCTCACCGCCTTCCGCCCCTGTTGGCTTCTCTCAGATCGTCGCCATGAAAAGGAAATGCTACGGGACAATTAACGATGGGTTTCCGCCCTTTGATGGGTGCCAGTGACCTTGCCTAGTTTGAATCTGCTGAGAAGTCAGTTTGCCTTTCAAACATCAGAACAAATTCCACAGAAATTGGGGTGGAAATTTGGGACTCTAATGAGGGCCCATCCCAAATCCCTCCTTCCTGGCAATGCCCACTGCTAATCCCCTCCAGCTGCGACTATAAAGCTGCTCTCCTGCTTCCTCCTAGGAGGGAAGAGAGAGGTGGTGGCCAGGAGTCCCACCACTGGCACGGGCACAGCTGGGGCTTTCCTGGAGCTGAGGGCACAGGGCCCAGGAGAAACACGGGGCTTCTCTGAGGAAACAGGGCCCTTGCCGGGGAGCCGGGGACACAGCGGCCCTGGCTTCTCGTGAAACAGGTCACTCAGAGGCTTGGGGCCAAGGACAGTCTTGGCGACCACCGGCACGGCAGTGGGGTGATGGTGTCAGCTCAGGGACAGCAGGTGGGTGAGTGGCGCCACGGGAGAACTCTGCAGAGACGCACTGGTTGAGGACACTGGGTCAGCAGGTCTTGGCGAAGAGGGGGGGCGGGGGGCGTGGCGGGGCGGAGAAGGACTCGGCTCCACTCTGCAGTCGGAAGAGCCCCGCCGCGTAAGCAGCCGCTGGCTATACCTGGTGAACTGTGGGCCCCGTCCAGGAACCGGCCGCAGGGCTTCTGGAGCTTGGGAAAGACAGTCTTGGGCCCAGCAGCTGCAGCGTCAACCTGCCTCGTCCCTGGGAGACCCACCCAGCCCCGGAGGCCGCAGAGCGTGCCAGGCAGGCTCAGAAAGAAGCAGGTGGCCTGGTTCGGGCCTCCCTGCAGCTGAGCTCAGGCCTCCAAATTAGAGCTGACAGCCCTCGGGTGGCTGCTGGGCAGAGTCGGGGGTCAGCTGAGGGACCTGCAGCATTCACCGTGGGGTGTGACAGCAGCGGAGATGCAGGTCAGGGGCGCCGCCGGGGCGCAGCTCTCAGGAACACTTCCCAGGCCTCCTCTCAGCGGCCCTGTAGGAACAGGCATTCAGCTCCACTCACACGAGGGGAAAACTGGGCTCGGGAGTGAAATGACTTCCAGGGGCCCTGCAGACGGCACAGCCAGAACCCCCGTTCGGATCAGGCCTGCCTGGAGCCCATGCTTGCAATGCACACGTGGACTCCGGCCTCTGGGAAGGTCCCTGGGTGGCATCCGTGTCTGCGTCTGCCCGCAGCCCAGTTCACGGTACAAGCCCTGGTCAGTGCCGCTGTGTTTGGGAAGCGACGCGTGAACGGGGAGGAGGGAGAAGCACACCAGCAGGGCCCGCCTCGTCCCAGCACAGTCCCCAGGAGGGCTTTGCCTCACTCCCCAGCAAGGGGAGTCTGGCTGCACTAGCCTTCCTGGCGAGGGCCACTCACGGTACCTGTCAGAGGCCATGGCATGCCCCATGCTGGGCAGACCCGCCCCGCCGCCCCCTCCCTCCCTCCCGTGCATCCATGGCCAGCCACTGCTTCCTGACTCCTCTGCGCTGGGCACGGCCTTGTCCTCTCTGGCTGGCTCTCCTTCTACCCTCCTGACTTAAACCTCTCCCCTGTCTCCCCCCGCCCAAACTGACTCACCAATTAGGGAATCGAGACCAGCCCAGCCTGTTGAGTTCTTGGCTGTCCTGGGGATACCCATGGCCCCGTAAGTCAAATGAGGGCGTCTTTCATTCCTCAACCAGCATGGAAGCCCTTGGAGGCCAGGCCCATACCCGGGGCAGCCTCCCACTGGCCCCAGTACTCAGCCAGCCTTGTCCAGCTTGGGAAGTTCTTGGTTCCAAAAATAGCCAAGCCACAACCTCAAATACAGGTGCCCACATTTAATCGTCTGTGACATTTGCAGAGTGTCTTTGACTCTTTACAGCCCTTTCACTTATCGGACCTGACACAAATGGGCAAGCATACCACACACAGACACATACCCCAGTGACTCACAGACAAATACGTTCATACAACCCAACCCCCACGTGGGAATGACTGCGAGGGTCGACCAGGAACGAGGAGGGGAGACCGAGGCGCTGCCCCGCCTGCTGATGCCCCTGCCTTCTGCCAAGAGGCATGCAAACCTGAGCAGAGAGTGAGGTGGGTGATGGCATGGGGTGCCCTGGTGGTGGGAAGGCCATGAAAATGAGTGTAGAGGCTTAAACCCAGGACCCCCAGAGCAGAGACAACAATGGAAACCTACTTGACCTCAATAAACTGAATTTGAAATCAATAAAAAATAACTGGGGCCCTCCCTGGTGGCGCAGAGGGTTAAAGCACAGCACTAAGCTAAAGGCAC